GCAATATGTAAAAAAGTGGATGTGGAACCGATGTGAATATGCAATATGTATATGGGGTAAAAATGGGAGTTCATAATCTGCTTGAAACAAATGTATGAAATATGATATGTCAAGAGCTTTGTAATGTTTTGAATAACCAATAATAAAATAAATAAATAAATAAATAATTTTTAAAAAAAGAGAGTAACACTTGTTTTGGATCTAGATTTGCATACCTGGCCAGTAGAGTGACTGCCACTATTAGGGCCTAGAGCAAGAGTATGATTTTAATTTGGATGTTGTTTATCTGGTTAAGGCACTTCATATGAAATTCAACAATGGCTTGCAAAGCATCACAAAAAATAGAGTTATCATAAATGCCCATCCACAAAAAAAAAGTAAGCTAATGAAAATTAAAAGCCCATCTTAAAAAAACTGGAAGATGTTAAGAGACTAAAGGGAAGACTTTGCAAAACTGAGGGAAGAATGTTAAAATATATATGGAATATATGGAATTAAAAAGAAATCAACATTGTATATATTGAACTTTGTGGTTCAGCATAATAATTCTATCCCAAAGAAGATAATCTGGAAAAAATAAATGAAGAATGGAAAGAATGGGAAGCAATTGCCAATAAAAGCAGAATCTAGGGGAGCTCTTTGTCATGCTCCATCTAAAGTAGTTTAGAGGATGCTAAATACTAGCATTTAGGGTACATGGTATATGCTCAAGTTTTTCTCAAAGAATGAGAAGTTAATGGCAAAAATAAGATACATGTAGAAGCCAACAGCGACTAAAACATTGGAAAAGACAGTTGCTTAAAATTGGCCTGGTAGAAGGAGCAGTGGAGGATACCTATAATCTCAGGGACTCTGAAGGCTGAGGACGAAGTATCATGAGTTAAAAGCCAGGCTCTGCAAGGGCGAGGCACTAAGTCTCAGTGAGACCCTGTCTCTAAATAAAATACAAAATAGATTTTGGGATGTAGCTCAGGAGTTGAGTGCCCCTGAGTTCAGTCCCTCCTACAACAACAACAACAACAACAAAATGCCCTTGCCTGAGAGGTAAAAACTAAACTTTCTTAATTCTCATTTTGATTCTGAAATTTCTTCCTCCATCAGGACCATGTCCTCTACTAATATCTCACACGAGTACACACTCTGGAATCTTGAGTGCTCTGTAAAAGATAACATTTTACTAATTAGAGAAACACAAATAAAGACTACTCTAAGATGTCATCTCATGCCACTCAAAAGAGCAATTATCAAGAATACAGACAACAATAAATGTTGGTGAGGATGTAGAGGGAAAGGCACACCCACACATTGCTGATGGGACTGCAAATTGGTGCAACCAATCTAATAAGCAGTATGGAGATTCCTTAGAAAATTTGGAATGGAACCATCATTTGTCCCAGCTATCCCATTCCTCAGTCTACACCCAAAGGACTTAAAATCTGCATACTGTAGTAAGGCAGCCACATTCATGTTCATAGCAGCTTAATTCACAATAGCTAAACTGTGGAAGCAACCTAGATGACCTTCAATAGATGAACGGACAAAGAAACTGTGATATATATATATATAGATACATACACACACACACACACACACACACACACACACTGGAATATTTCTCAGCATTAAAAGAGAATAAAATTATGGCATTTGCAGGTAAATGGATGGAGTTATAGAATACCATGCTAAGTGAAATAAGCCCTCAAAAACTAAAGGCCAAATGTTCTCTCTGATAAGTGAATGCTGATTCATAACAGGGATGGGGAAGCCATGGGAAAAAATGGAGGAACTTTGGGTAAAGAGGAGGGAGTGGGGGAGGCTGCATGGGGGAAGGAAAGATGGTGGAATGAGATGAACATCATTACCCTAGGTACATGTATAAGTGCACATATGGTGTGACAATACATTGTGTATAACCATAGAAATGTAAACTTGTGCTGCACCTGTGTACAATGAATCAAAATGCATTCTGATGTCTATATACCTAATTAAATTAATTAATCGATAACTTTTTT